ATATTTGGGTTCCACATGAACTCAAAGAAGTTCATTTGATGGTGCATATAAACATCTGCAATATGCTCATTAAACGTGAGGAAAACGATCCTTTTTTTGAAGCGACTGATAACTGGTGATGAGAAGTGGATTGTTTACAGCAAAGTGGTGTGCAAACTGTCTTGGTCCCAACGTGATGATTCGCCTCAAATGACTTTGAAAGCAGACATTCATCAGAGGAAGGTTATGCTCTCATGTGATGAGATTTTAAAGGAGTTGTGCTTTTTGAGCTCCTACCAAGGAACCAAACTAATCAATTCGAATGTTTACTGTCGGCAACTGGACAGTTTGAATGAATCCATCATCCAGAAACGTCCAGAGCTTGTTAATGGAGTTGTGTTCCATCGCGACAACACGAGACCACACAGAAGTTTGATCACCCATCAAAAATTACTGGAGCTTGGATGGGACGTGTTGCCACACCCACCATACTTGCCTGACCTTGTGCGGTCAGACTTCCACTTGTTTCGCTCTCTTCAAAACTCTCTGTGTGGTATAATGTCTAATTCAGATGAGGCTGTAAATCAGCACCGTGTTTAGTTTTTTGCAAAAAAGACAGGTCCTTCTATGAACGAGGAATTATGAAGCTCACTGAAAGATGGCAAAGGTTATCGAACAAAACTAGCAATATATCATTGATTGATCTTTGTTCTTTATATAAATAAATGACCTTTGAAAAACATAGACAAAATACATCACGACTTTTCCAAAGACCCAATATATGACTGGTATCCTTATAAAAAGGGGAAACTTGAACAGAGACACACATACAAGGAGAACGCCAATACGGACATGAAGACAGCAGAAGCCGAGGAACACCAAAGAGTCCAGCAAACCATAAGAGCATTGAAGCGAATCATGGAACATTTTCTCTCTCACAGCCCTCAGAGAGAATCAACCTGTCAACACCTTGATCTTAAACTTTTAGCCTTCAGAGCTATGAGAAAACACATTTCTGTTTTTAAGCTACTCAGTTTGTGGTACTTCGTTAGGGCAACACTAGCAAAAAAAAAGTATAGTCATCAAACTTCAGGTTACTTGGGGTAAACTGCAGAAAGGCAATTTTTGTGTGTGTGTTTAAGATTCAAGTTGTCAATTTTGGAGTGATGATAATATTTTGGCTATTTTATTTTGCCTTTGCCCGAAATATCATGTGTCAGTGACAAACGATAGCAAGAGTTTTGACTTTGTGGTGTGTATTCAGAGCGCAGAACACCTCTACAGGAGACCACAAAGCCATATGCCCTGGCTGTCCCTCAAGGCCTTTTCCATTTGCCCCAGATAGGTGATCCAGAGCAGTGATCCAGAGAGGGAAGAGAGAGAACCATGCAGTGCAGTGAGGGAGAGCTACCTGCCCATCTACAGAAGGCAGGAAAAGAAGGCATGGTTCCAGCGTCGGTGCTTTAGGCACAGTTCCCCCAAAGTGTATAGGTCTTTCAGCCTAAAGTCCCCTTCTTCTTTTACCTGCTCAGAATTCTGGGAAATCTCCCAGGAATTTCCTTAGCCAGAACAATGGCTCATCCTTTGGGTTCCAATGCACTATTAGTGAGTTGTTTTCACGTCTGTATCTCCCACATGATAGAACATCCTTCAGAGCAAGCACCATCCTTTTGCATTCCCTTTTGCAACCTAGCAAAATGTTTCCAGAAATCTAATGCAAAATGTGTGCTAATTAAATAATAATTTCCCCTGGAATCTCCTCCTATCAACCTATTCCAAGGGAGATAATTTAGAAATGCCCTTTAGGAATCTATATGAATATAACATTCTGAAAATTTCTATCAAAACATGAGGCAATTAAACCATTTCAGCTTTGTGTCAGGACCTTGAATAATTTTTTAAACAACATTATGCTTTTCCTGGATTTTGGGATGTTTGCTTTGATATTTTATACTTTTTATGTGTTATGATCTTTTCATTTAAAATAAATATTCACTTTTAATAAAATAAAATATGAGGGGCAAAGCCTCAAGTCCAAACTGATCTCTCTTGTTGTGGAGTGATACGGTTCCCTGAGGAGTTTCGAGTTGGCTGAAGCTGCATAACATTTTGTCTTCTCTCAAATCTCCAGACTTCCTTACAAAAACATGAAACAAACTGTAGACACAAGACATACCTGGGTCAAACTGAATCAGTTTAGATGGAGTCATGGTGAAATCTTTTCCAACTGTAGCTGACACTTGGTTGACCTGAAAGTGGGAAAAATATCTTTTTTTAATAAAAATAAATATTTTATAACAGAGAAACACCTAGCCTAGTCTCATACTAGACTAAGCTTATGTTCTTAAACTCTATTGTTAACATAACTTATTTTTATTATAATAAGCTATTTTTGATCCAAGCTACATGGATCTTCCTAAAAGTTAACTTTTTTCTAGACTAATGTCAACAAAAGTAAAAGTAAAAGATTTTTCTGCTTCTCCTTTATAAATGACTCAGTTATTGGAGAAAGAAATGTGAATTTAAAAAAAATATTTTTCTCTTTGTTATGAATATGAATTTATTTCATTTTCTTCCCTTTACCTAAACATTGTTCTAAAATAGTACCTCTGAAGGGCCGGCCAAGTGGCGCGTTGGTTGAGAGCTGGCTTGGGATGCCAGAGGGCCCCGGTTTGGATCCCACATATGAGGGCCAGTGATACTGCCCTCTACAGCTAAGATGCTGAACAAGAGCTCAACTTGGAGCTGGGCTGCCTTGAGTTGCCGGCGACAGCGTGGGCTGCAGCCCTTTCTGCAGTGGGTTGCCATGGGCTACCGTGTGTAGCCAGCAGCCAGTGTGAGCGGCCAGCAGCCGCTGTGAGCCACCATCCAGAAGCCAGTGACTGATCTGCCTCGCCTGGGAAGAGCGCAATGATGGTGCCAACTTGGGCCAGTGAAGCAACATCCTCCACAACTAGACTGAAGAACAAAAGGACTACAACTTGTCTGTTCCCCTTCCCCCAATTCCCCAGTGCTGTTCCCATCCCCCAACTCCCCAATAAAAAATCTTTAAAAAAAAAAAAAAAGAGAGTGTTAGCTCTGTGTAACAGCAGTTTGAAAAAAATAAAATAAAATAAAATAAAATAAAATAGTGCCTCTGAGGAAAGGGAAGGGGGACAGTGAAGAGGAAAAGAAAACACAGGCACTTCCCACGGCCTGGGTGCTGATCTGTCCGCAAGCTCTGAGGTCTCCTGCGAGCTCCATAGCACTGAAAGCCTTTAGACTAGATCAGGGGTCAGCAAACTGCGGCATGCGAGCCACATGCGGCTCGCGAGCCACATGCGGCTCTTTGGGTACGTTCTGTCTCAAAAGTTTGCCGACCCCTGGAAGAGCCAATTCTGTCCCTCACAACAATTTAAAAATTATTTGAGAGCCATAAATATATTTTTACATAATCACCATTATGTGAATAACATCCTTTAAAAATTTTATCATTGAAACTATGATAGTTTTATTTCATTTTCAATTTTACTTCAGAGCCACAGTTTGCCAGCCGCAGTTTGCTGACCTCTGGCGGCTCTTCCATCTCAAAAGCTTGCTGACCCCTGGACTAGATGAAGTAACACAAATTTGCTTCATTTTCCTGTCTGGATGAAACCATGCCTTTTTACACGCCATGAATGAGGGCTTCATGGGGATAACAGACCTGGCGCACAGCTCCACAAAGGCAAGCCACACCCAGAGCTGAAAGCTTTAGAAGCTCCATCATGTATGTTGTAAAAAAAAAAAAAAAAAATTAAAAAAAAAATCACTGTCATCTAATGAGGCTATCAACTGACCCTACCCTCAGGGCTGAAAACCAGTTGATTTTAGGGCTATAAGGTCATGGCCTTCACATCCTTAGAGAGAGCCTAACACATTAAGAACAATCCTTGGCTGGTATGAAAAAAAGAGGTCATCGAATGAGAGCCAAGTATAAGCTCAATAGACAGCTGTTACTTTTGCTCCTTTTTAGATGTTTAAGAGGGCCGAGAAACCGGGTTAATATATTTCTTCACTGTTTTACAAAGCAATGAAATGCACAATTAACTGAAAAATTCCTGTTTCTATTGCCTCGGACATTATCTCCATTTCTGATCAGAAGCCCTGACCCCTGCCAATGGGTCTGCCGTGGAAACATTTTGCTCACGACAGGCATTACCTCCTCAGCTCCCGTTTGCTCTGGCCTACAATGCCAAGGCTCCTCATGAAGCACCTTTCTTTGTGAAAAGGCAGCCCATTGTACACCTGTACCCTCCATATGCTGGGAGGTACACATCCCCGCATGGTACTTGCACGTGCAATTACCTAGTATTTACCACCACTGAGTTTACAAAGTCTTATGTGGGAAAAAGGATGGGCTGAGGCCAGGTGACTGGAGAAATCAGTCCAATGAAGGTGCATGATTCAAACCAGGACAAATAACACAGGGAAAAGTGCTTTCTCTTCCCCTGCTCCTAGTCGAGCAGCCAATGAGTGAGCTCTGGTATAAAGCGGCCGGCTGTGTGCTGAGCGTCGAGTCGTCAGTGAAGGACTCAGGGCCGTGTTTGCTGAAGGCCTTGCACACTCAGCTGGCGGGTTCACGGCATTCAGCTTAAGGAGACAAAAGGTTCCATGTCACACCGCGTATGTTCTTGCTGTTGGCAAGGTGAATGGTAGTGTGGCCCAAAACGCCAGACTCGAGCATATGGTGCTTTCTACGGAGGACCAGAGCACTATTAAAAACATCCAGGCAGACTCTTTCTTTTTCCATAAACAATCTGTTGGAAAACTATAGGGCATACCAAGGTGTCTAATATTTTAATAACAATAACACTCACAGGTCAGGGGAAAAGAGCTTACGTCCATGGGACAGACAAATACTGAGTCTGGACATGGTAGAATTTAGGTGCACAAGGGTCTGAGGGTGATTTGAGTTTATTATTGTCATTGAGAGTTAACTGAGTTGCTATTTTTCCAGCAGCTAATATCAGGGCCCTTTTCATTAGATTGAGGGGGGAGTCTTAAGCCTTACTTGCTGTCATTCGTACATAAAAGCTTTTCATGGTTTCATTCTCTTGAAAGTGCTACTGCGATAGGGACTCCTAAAAATCCTTCAATTCTAGAAGCCATAGGTTGTGCTTCAAGGTCCATGTCAGTGAAAATGAATAGCAAGTTGACGCATTCAAAAGTGATTACTGAAAATGTCTTACGTTTCAGGGTGCCTATATTGATATATGCTCTCTTAATTCTGTATAATTTGGGGACTCTTAAGTATGTTCCCTGGGTTTCCTCATTCACTGATACTATTAGGAAGTGACCCTGCTGCAAACTACGGAAAGCCATTTGAGGACTGAAATTTACTCTGGGTATCTCACCGAATGTCTTGCATACAACTTTTTTTTTTTTCCCCCCTAAAGTAGAGTTTGGCCCAAGTTCACCAGGTAGGACATATCTCCCTGTGAAATCAAACTTCAAGACTTAATTATTAGATTTAAAAAACTAAAAATGGGTTAGAAGCATCATATCTAAGAGCTAATGAAGTTAGATAAAGAATGAAGAGAGGAGGAGATTTTGTGCTTAGAATCTCCAAAAGAGAGTGGCATTCCTGCAATTTGAAATGTCCTTGGTTACTCTAAATCCAAGGCATCAAGTTGCAGCAGCCTAAGTTTTAGAATGAGTTTACATTTTAGAGTTGTTACCTTTACACTCACAAAAGCGGAGTCCATGGAATAGCCCCTTCTGGTAACTTCCAAGGGCAACGTGCCCACATTCTCACAGACCTCATATTCAGTCTGTGACCATTCGATATGAGACCACTTCAGTTCCAAACTGAAAGGAAAGAAAAGGAAAAATCATAAGACATGTATAGTAAACTCCTGTAGGGATCCTCTCCTGGATAGGAGACTGAACCATTGGTTCACATCATGGGGACAAGGTGGTTCATTAGCTTACACCAGTGCTAAAAATTCCTTACACACATTTGATACATTTTAATTCACAGAGAACTTTTACTAACATTATCTCATGTAATGCTTACAACAATGCCATGAGGGAAGACAGAATAAGTATTAGAATTCCATTTTACAAATGTAGAAACTAAGGTTAAAAGACTGTCAGAGGTCCCACAGTTATTAATGACAAAAAAAAAAAAAGACTCAAACTTGAGTGAGCTGGAGGGAAAGGGACCAGCAGTTGTGACATTCAAGGAGACATTCATTTTTGGGAAGGACATTGATATGAACTCTCTCTTGTTTTCTGGCCTTCTTTGTTGGTGTAACAAGAATGGTTCCAGACACAGATATTCTTGGAAGTGGGGTTAAGTTTCATAACAAGTTATCTTTGAGAGTATGCCCAAGGATTAAAATGTGTTTTGTAACCATTGTCTGTTCATTCTTGTGTATATAAAAGAACGTAGCTTGGATGCAGCCACACAACTGAATAAACCTGATAAATAGAGGGTGGTCTTTCCCCTCACGATATAACTAGTGAACCCAACATGTGATGGAAACTGTCTTCTTGAATCTTCATAATACGGAGAGAAACTGTTTTTAAGAAAAAAAAACCCAAGCCTAAGAGAGACTAAATAAGTAGCTCAAAGGGAAAAAGCTCTGACAAAGCTAATAGAGAGCAGAGATGAAATTTCCAGCATAAACCTGAAGCCAAATGTTCTATTCCTCCTCTACCATCCTTCTTCCCAACTGAAGTTCTTCATTACCCTTGTTGTTTGAGCTCAAGCAGAAAACTACAGTTTTATCTTTATCCTGACATATTTTCCTTTTTGAGGTGAGAAAACTTAAAATATTTCACCTACACATTTCTTTCTAAACATGTTCTTACCTTTGTTACCTACCCCCTGTACCCTTCGGCAATATAAAAGACACAATCAGTTCTCACTGTGATCATTTACCACACATCCATTGCTTTTGTTTTGTTCATTTCCCTTTCATTCTACATTTACAACATGCTCAGTGGTTGTCTTACTACATTCCCAAACTTCTAATTGGATTCAGGCTCTTTCCTCTAGGTTTTAAATTTTATTTTTTACAACTTTTTTTTTTCTTCCAGAGCTAGAAATTCTAGGTGCATGGAGTCCAAAAATTTGTATTCACAGTATTCTCCAGGCTTTCCTGGGGACCATTCATATTAGAGAGTAAGTTTATCTTCTCTCTCTCTTTTTTTTTTTTTGAGGGCGCACCTCAAAGTGTCTCATGTGGGGATTGAACCGGCAACCTTGTTGTTCAGAGCACGCATTGTAACCAACTGAGCCACCTGGCCACCCAAGTTTATCTTCTAATAACCACTTATTGTCCTTGCACCAATCATATGTCACAGTAACATCCTATAGATTAAGTTCACTAGCAAAACACACTCAATAGCACTGTCTCCTACTCCTAGGACCACGGGCCAGAGATCCAAGGGTAATGTGGAAGCAGGGGATTATTGCAGAGGTGCATGAATCTCTATGAACATAGATGTTTATTTAATCAATAGATATGAAATTCACTGTTACTGGCACGCTGGGCTTCATAACACTTTGGCATGCAAACAGCGTTCTTACTTTAAATAATATTGGGACCCTCATGGGTCTTAATGCAATGGAACTCAAATCTGGCATGAAACGGATCAAGAAATAAAGAAATGTTTAAAGAATCGCAAGATAACCAAAGCAACAAGGATATTATAAATGCCAATAGAAATAACAGTCCACTATTATTCTAAATAATTATGCTGTTATTCTAAACAACATGTTGCAGAGAATTCCTAAAGGAACAGCTAAATGAGAATGAAAAAAAAAATCAGCAAGAGGGGTTGGGGAAAAAGAGAAAGATGAAACAGGAAAGATAGAAAAGCACTGGAAATGAGTGAAACAGATAAATATGGCTGCATTTCAGCTAAGCCTCAGCAAGGTTCAAATGAGTTTCATTGTCCAGTCTCCTGAGAACCCATCCATTACTAACACTAACTACGACAAGTCAAAACTCATCAGTGTCACCCTGTAGATCCAGGTGATCTCAAGGCACAAAGCTAAATGCAGTGTGATTGCTGATCTAGAGCCATAAGGGCACCATGAGGAGTCTGTGCAGCTTCAAAGCATAAAGGGTCTTGGTGTTTGGGAAAGTGTGTACATTTCCCTGACGCACCATTAGAATGCTGCACAACGCTGAGAGGTTAAGGTTGTCATCACACACACACAATGTTCTATTTTATTTTCTTAAAACTACTCACTACAAATAATACAGATCTCTTGAAAAACCATAAAATTTAAGCCAGGCTATATACCATTGGTGCCAGAAAAACGTATACACACGAAGTGTATTCATCTTTTGTTATCGGTATATATCGAGTACTACAATTTTAATACAGTTTTTTCCTTTCTTATACATTTTTTTGGCACCCTCTGTATTTTCCAGAAAAATATTTAAATTGCAAAGCACTTGCATACCTATGGGATATACAAGTATGCAACACATGTTTTGTATGTGTTTTTTGCAGTACAGTATTTCAGAAGATCTTTCTATGCTGAGACTATGGTTGTTTAACCTCTATGCACACACCTGGAAAAAAAAACAAGACCTGCAGTTAATCACTTGGGAGCTTTCCCTGCTAGAAGCCACGCAGCTGTATGCTTGGCAGCATGTGGACAACCAGCTGCAGGATCCCTTGATGGAAACTTGGAAACCTCTGGATGTGTAGGTGTCACGTAGACAAGGGTTGGTTCTAATGATCCCTCCCTTCTCCTGCTACCATTGAATAAAGCTCTTTCTAAGGTCAGAAATGAAGTTTTTGGACACGCTTTATGCAAAACCCACATGGCAATCATTTCAAGTCATGTAGCAGGAGGTGAGAACTCATTTAGCCTCTAGGTCAGGGTTTCTCAACCTCGATGCTACTGACATTAGGGACCAGATAGTTTTTTGCTGCAGGAAGCTGTCCAGCACATTGTAAGATGTTCAGCAGCATCCCTGGCCTCTATCCACTATCTTCGGTTACGACAATCAAAACTGTTTCCAGATACTTCCAAATGTCCCTTTGAGGGGGAAGTCATTCCCAGTTGAGAAACGCTTCGCTAAGTGATTTCTGGAGCACTCATCTCGATAAGAAAATTTGATCTCATGTGAAAATTAAATTTTGGTTCCCCCAAACCACTACTGTAAATGGAAGGCGTAGGATGAAGTAGTGGAAATTAAAAGTGGGTTAGAAAACATGAGGCTTTTGGTCCTTCTACTCATTAGCTCTAAATCGGGCACCAGAAAAGCTGTTGTAAAACACCCAATTTAAAATCACATTCCATCCTCAAAGTCTAGCATTTGTGACTCCCCCCTTATTCTGACTTTTTCATTTTCCAAAGTATATATCACATATAACATACTACTTAATTTAATTAGAAACTACATATTCTCTAAGTAAACAGGGGTCTTTGGTTCACTGATGTATTCCCAAGTCCCTTGTAGAGTGACTAGGATGCAGGAAATGCCCCATCAATATTTGTCAAATGAATCTTACTTAGCCCACTGTTTCCCAAGCTAAGTTGATCACCAGAGTTTGTGGGGTTTTTTTTCCTCCCCAGCCCTCTTAACATCATATTTCACACAATTTGGAAAAATGCTAGGCTAGGTTATCCTCACATATTCTTTCTAGCCCTGACTTACTCTGGGTTCTTTGGCTGTTATTGGGCTTTATTAGAGAGCAAGATGGCATTGATAAAAGAGCACCCTACCATACATCATAATTTCTTAACATATATATGTGCTATTATCTAAGCTGTGTGCATGGTTCCTAACATTTGACAATGTCTAGAGACAGCTTGGATTGTCACGCTGGGAAGAGGGTGGTACTGGCATTTAGTGGGTAGAGCCCTGGGATGCTGCTAAAACATCGTGCAATGCACATGACACCCCCCCCCCACCCCATGACAGAATCACCTGGCCCAAAATGTCAATAGTATTGACGCAGAATCAAAAATATACACTTTCTAATATTTTCTTCTGTGGCTACTTGATTCACTTATATGAAGGAGCAATGAACTGTAAGAAACACTGAGGATTAAAACTCCAGTTTGGGATTTGGGACATTAAAGTAGGTTAACAAGAGGGTGTGGAAAAGGTACTTAGCCCCTCTATGCCTCAGTTTCCTCACTTCCCAAAATATAATAATGATGGGCCTATACTTCAAAGGGGTTAAAATGAACCTTTAATGAATACTCATTAAGTAGTTTGAGCTTCTCAGTGAAAGAGTTTATAGAAGCTAAAATTGTGATTAAATTATTCTCGTAACTAGATTTTCATGTATAATCAAGTCGCATATGACTTAAGAAAATTGAGATGTTAAAAAATATTTTTCTAAGTAATCAATCTAAGACTTATCAATTCAAAGAGGATGCTATTAAGCTCCCTAATCTGATGCTATGAACACCTGTGTTTTCATTTTTGTCTTGCTCTCATGATAATGGGGAAACAGTATTTAGCCAGGAGGCAGCATATTGAGTCCCCAAACAAGTGCTTTGGAGTCTGACATGTCTTGCAACCACTTATTATTATAGTTTGTGATTTCGGTCAGTTACGACGTAGTTTCTCTGGGCCTCAGTTTTCATTATCTTTACAATGAGAAAAGTTAGGCTCATGTCAAATGATGAAAATTAAAATTCATTAATTTCTATAAAGCACCTGTACACAGTGGGTGCTTAATAAGTGCTATTTTCCTTCCCTTCCTCTGTGCTTTTCTGGATTGAGTCTGGAAACACATGCTTTTAACTTTTGGCTTTCATGTAATGTGAAAGCTTCACCTAGCCAATAGTTTCAACCTCTTCCCCTACAAGGTGTTTCATAAAAGCTGCCAAACCATTGCGAAGTTCACCTATTAGAAATTCCTTTCCTTTTTCATTTCTTTTGTCCCTTCTCTTTTACGACCAAGAATGAATAACAGAACAGCAGGGGGAGGAGAAGAAACAGGGTGCTTGGAATCAGGCAGCAGCTGGAGAAGCAGCTCAGAGTTATGAACAACTTCAGTGTGGGTCAACTTTTCTTTTGAAGTTCACTCTTTGTCAGTAGACCCAAGCAAAAGGTCAACGTAGAAGACGTATTAGGAAACTGCTGTGGTCAGAAGTCGGCTACCTTCTGTGCTCTGCAATGGTGTTTTTGATGAATGATGTGGGTCCTGTGTAGTTTGCTTTGAGAATTCTGCAGATCATCTTGAGATTCAGGTTGGACTTAGGAACAGACATGAGCTTGTGAGTTGGTCGCACCAAGGCATGGGCCACTGCGATGTATTCATCAGGTGACCGTGCACTTTGAGGTCCGGGGATCAGGGTTCACTTTTGGCTTTGCACTCATCCACTTAAGTTACTTCAGGCCAATTTCTTAAATGCTTTAAGCTTCATTTCCTTATCATCCTTAGGAGATTGTGCTTTGCAGATGAACTTAGACATCATATGTGAAAGCACCTAGCACAGTACCTAAAATTTAGGCCCTCAGCCAAGTCTAAATCTTTATGCAAATTTCCAACATAAATGTTGCATTTATGCAACATTTCCAGTGTTATGAAATAATTTCCATTCACAATAAAATGTCCCCCAGCTGTATTCCATGAAAAACGTGTTCCATGAGTTATTGTGGGGTGTGTGGGAGGGAAGGGGAGAGAGAAGTGGTTCTATAGTCAAAACAAGTTGAGTCTATGCTGCATATTATGTCCTTCCCTCAGGTCCCCAAATCCATACAAGCATCTCCATGATTCTAGGATGTGATGCAGTTGAATAGCACCCAAGCTAGCTAGTTAGCAATAACTTGATTAGTCTAGCCTAATCCAATTTCCTAACACCTTTTTTAATGGAACATTTATTGACTCTTCAGGACTGGTATTCCATAGCAATGCTGCAAGAGCAAAAACTTATTAGCAATCAAGATTTTGGGACATTCTCACTGAACATGGGTTCTTCTCGTTTTTTTAAAAGAGCCCCCTTTCTGCTCCAGATTGCACCCCCCTGTCCCTTTAGCTTTATTACAGAAGGTATTCACTCATTCAAATATGCAGAATATTAATCTATTAATCCTGCCTAAGCTAAAGAAATACACAAAGCTGCACAGCATTTAGCTTGTGGGTTAATAAGCATATTGATTGTTCACTTTGTGAATCACCCTAGAATCAATTTCTAATTAGAGATGGACTGTAGCTGGCCACCCAATATCTTTGGAATACTTCTTCAAACCTTTGGACCCACACAAATGAACAACAATAGTAATCATACCACAAGTTACATTTGTTAATTACTTCAAATGTGCAAGATGCTTTCATATGTCTTGCCTCACTTGCGTCTCTAAACAAATTTGGGGATTGCCACCATTTGACATATGAGAAAACTGAGGCTTGAACAATCACCTGGGGTCAATGGCATAGCCCCAGGTCAAACTCTGGTCTTTGGCTCTAAATCCAATGGTTTATTGTTTATTGTTTATTATCTATACTATAATTCCTGGTGTGTTAGACATGGAGTATACACTAATATTAACACTTATAATTTACATTAAAAAACAAGTCAAACTGAAGGTCCTTGATTAAAGAATTCATCCTTTCTTGCTACCCAGGGGCCAATGACTGGAGAGAAAGAAGGGAGTTAAGTCTGCAGCTCCTTTCCGTTTAGGCTGGCTAGCATGCTTTGTTAAGACTGGGCAAGAAGTTCTTTATTGCAGTGAGGAAACCATGGACTCCAGAGCCACACTTCCTGGGCCCGAATCCTAGCTCCTTCACAAATCAAGTGCATAAGCTAGGAAAAATCTCTTCCTACCTCTGTGTTTCAGTTTCCTCACCTGTAAATTCTGTAATTATGATGGTACCTAATTCATAGGTGGTTGTGTTGACTAAATGACAAGCAATGAAATAGAACAAAAAGCAATTATATTGCAAATGCCAATGATTTATATTGTACGTGTAACTAACTAGGTTCTTGCTGGCTGTCTTGGGAAAACAACCTACTATACATAATATTCTTACTGGGAAAATGTGCTTCGTGTTCCAAAAAACACATTTTAATAAAGAAGGCTGGAGACAAGTATACTATTCAAAAATTATGAATATAAATGTCTACCTTCCCATGCCTAGTCAAAACAAACAAACAAACAAACAAACAAACAAAAAACTTAATATGTCAGAATCAAACCAAAATTATTTTGGATTAACACTTAGTAGGTATATTTTGCATCATCTTGCTCCATTGGTTCTAATCATTTCAAGGTGAATTAGAAACATCTTCAGCATGGATACATAAAAATTGATATCCAACACAAGCAGGAGCCTATTTAAAATAGCCTCAATTAAGGATATAAACTTTTCTGTGAATCAGCTATGAATCTGAGGATTATTTTAAAAATATAAATCATCTTCAAAAGCAATGTCCTTGATAAAAACAAGGAATAAAAAGGGCATGTAAGTGATACAATATCAATCTAGCACCATTGCTGGGGAAAAAAAATATTCTCTATTAACTATGCTGTGTTCACACGTGGAGGACCAGCTGTCAGCATTAGATCAGTAGCAAGTCTGATCAGTATTCTTATGTTTTTTAGTTGAACTATTTAAAAAGCAAGTGAAGTCTATTTATTAATATTTTTGGAGCAATTTATTGTTTTTTTTTCTCTTTACATTTTCTTGCGAATTGGAAGATAATTATCTGAAATTGCAAATAGTTAATCTACTTTCTATAAAGAGTGCAATCCTGAGGAATCATTTCTTTTAGGCAAGAGCAGTTTAAAGGGTGGTGGTCATCTGTTTTAATTTTATAACCTCGTGATAATATTCAAATGTCGGGGGTGAGGCCTTCTTCGTTCATGTCTATTTACCAGTTTCTAGTACTGCGCACCTGGAATATAATAGCCACTCAATAAAAATCTGTGGAGTTAATAAATCCGGGCCAGGTACTACACTTTATCAGGGCAATGGAGGTGGAACCCTGGGAATGCGTTTTGTTAAGAGGTTGCTCGTTTTTTTCTAACAATAACTACAGAGACCTCTGCTGGGGAATGCTGGAACTACAATTCAGGATCGGAAAGAAAAGGCAAGAATGAAAAGAGCCAAGACGATTTCTCGGTTTTCTTTTCTTCCTTTGTCCATATTCTGTCATAAAAATCCCATAAAGGGGCTGTACTCACTTATGATGTGTAGTTTGGCTAGGATATGGTGAATACTAAAATTAGGATAAATAAACAACTTTTCTTTGAGGTGACTGGGAAGGGTATCAAATCTAAAAAGAAAGAAAAAAAACACCAATACTGGACTACAGCTAACCTTTCTACAGTCATCCGATAGCTGATAAATTATTCAAAGTCTACATTCAAGAAAAGTCTAGAACAGGGACCCAGTGAGTGAAATTCCTACAGTCTGTTAATCTTGTCAATTTTGAGGATTTGTTACTCTTGTTATCTGAGGATAGTTGTACACATTTTATAACTTCTCTCACTAAATACCAACATGTCTATTTTCCTCTCTACACTGTCTTCATCTTACCTATGATAGATTCATTAATGTGTAAAGGTAGTCTCATGAAATCATTTGTTTCTTTTCTTTTCTTTTTTTTTTTAGGAGGGAAGAGCTGTTTTGCTAGCCCTTCCTGACTATCTCATTGCTCCTACTCCAGCTATTTTGCAAAACTATGGTTACTAACACAGTCCTAGAGTGACCTCTTGCTGCACGATTTGTACATGAGCCTGCAAGCTCAGTCTTGGATGCCAGTGAATTGTCACCACAGAAACCTCTCTGTGCCTGAATGTGTGCATATTTACATGCATAAACTGAATGACCCAGCACTATACAACTATATATCTCTTTAATTTTTTCATACTCTGTAAAGCTACTGACTTTCTCAATATCAAGCAGTAATAAAAAGAAAAATTTCTCTCCAAAATAAACTCTATGAGCTTGTGAAATTGCTAATTTATCCTCTTAGATTCTGTTTGAAAAAGAACATTTGACTTTCCTAATCAGGTACATTTAGGACATTAGATGCAGGACTATGGAATAAGCAAAATAATTTACATTTGAGGAGCGGCAGAGTTCCCTGTGGGGTCCATGATTTGAAATTCCATGATATCAGAATTAAATTCCAAAGATGGGTTTATGATGTAAAGAATGGTCTTACTGTTTAAGTCCTTTTGGCTAAATTTCTCATGGATAAATTCACCTGCAAAATAAATAAGTGAATTTAACGGGTAATCAAACAAAATATTAAATAAAAGCTTATTAAAATTGCTATTTTATTTTAAACTCAACTTTACAAATAGCTGAAGTATAGTTTTTAAGGAAATTAACATTATTGCAATCATCTTAAAACTCATGCAATGAACTTAATCTTTAAAGTTTACTTTGTCACAGAAATACTGTGCTTTAAAGAAAATATATAAATAGAGGGAAAGTAGGAAAATGCTATAATAAAATCTATAATTCGCTGGCATCCGTTTTAGTGATATATTTTGATCACTGTCTTCATAAAGCAGAAATTACTATATTACGAGTAAACAATTCAGAGGAGCCATTATACAAAAAAACCCCAGAATTTTTTAAATGAACTGATATCCTTTAGAATTTATGATAGAAAAAAATTAGTCACAAATATGACTTTGGTCCTGACGTTGAGTATTCCTCTGAATACATTACAATCTGGCTATTTAAAAAAAAATGTTAGAAACAAACAGCATATAATGAAATAACATATCAGTATTTGGTTCTCCCACTCAAGATGAATTTAGGAAAACTCAGCCTCAGACCCTCTTTAGCACCAATATTGATTTATAAACTGCATCTATCAGTCAGCCCTAGGGAAGGTTTACCAAATGGGCCTGTACTTAATTAAACTACTCCCAAGCATTGGAAGCCACTGGGTATTTTAAAATGAGCAATTACAAGGATTAAGGAAGGCAGTACCTGTTGTGGTGTTCTCCAGATGTCCATGTCGGGGCCCTCGTAAAATCTTAAAGATGATCTGATCATCCTCGGTGTCAGGGTCCGATGCCTTCAACACACGGGAAGTGATGTAAATCCCATAACAGCCATTTTTCAGGAGTCCCACTTGAGAAGGGGAATGCACATATGTGATGTGGGGGGCTGTTTTGTCCAACTGGTCCACCTGAGTTGTCAATAATGACATACAATGTTATACCAAGGTTTCTCATTCCCATGGGGTCTTCATGGTTAACAATGACAAACTCTCCTGAATTTCAGATGCCTTATCCTCCTCTTTTGAAAATGTCCCAAAATCTTGATGGCTAGTAAGTTTTTGATCTTGCAGCATTTCTATAGACTACCAGTCCTGAAGAATCAATAGATGTTTAGATGTTCCATTAAGAAAGGTGTTAGGAAATCCGATTTGGCTAGATGAATCAAGTTATTACTAGCTAGTTAGCATGTGTGCTGTTTGACTGTCTTGTTCACAGTATCCTCAGAAAATATCAAGGTGAACTTTCCATTATAAATCCTGACACAGCCTTATTTATTTGTCTGACTCCTCCCTTAGGAAATAAGCTCCCTGAGGGTAGCTGGCGGGTCTTTTTTCTCCCATCAACTCCCTGCACCTGGCACAGTGCCTGAAGCATAACAGGAGCTCAAGGAATATTGGGTGAATGGATAAAATTGACCCAAGAACTGGATTGCAAACTTACAGTGAGCTCCACAGAAGGATTTCCCCCTTTTGCCAGTATTTGGTCATTTAGAGAAACACCATTATAAGGGTGTAGAAATGCATTGAACATTTTTTGGCATGTCTTTGTTTAAATGACAAAAAAATGTTCAATAAAAATAGAAATGCCTCAGTAAGAAAAAAATGAGAAGTGATTCTTTAGAAGCATTTGTGTATTTGTTTCATTGAGGATGAGAACCAGGTAACTAAACAAGTGGACTCAATTGGTGAAGATGGTAGATGGGCAATTACTCACGAGTGAAAGAGCTGTATAGGTTCAAACACTACAGAGGGCCTCATTCAGGTATAGTATGGAGCTCAGTCCATCTTGCAAATAACTGTTGTATGTTAGGGATGGAGCAGGTTTAGACGGATTAGCATAACTTACCACTGATATTAGAAAACAGGTACAAGAACACTACCTTCATCCCCCTTGTACCTAATCATTCATTTCTTAACTTCATTTACCCAAAAATGATACCACTGTTCACTCTAGCAAAGTGAAGAATAAGTGTCAATGATAAGCCTTTACATGTTTTTTGTACATGATGATATAATAAACTATTCAGCTCTTAAAAACAAAAAGTAGTATGAACCAAAAATGAATAATTCCCACAACTTAGTGTTAACTGGTTAAAAAAAAAACAAGTTGCAGAATTGGATATGACTATAATACCATTTATGTTCAAAACAAATACATGTATATGTTCATACAACCATTGGCAAAATTCTGGGAGCACCTGCACAAACCTGTACATTTGTCTTGGCGTAGGGAAAAATTACCTCTCCTCCTTTGTGTATTTCCATATGGAATTTTGTAACAATCAAATAGTATTTTCCTCTCAAGTTGGCAAGGCCCTTTTTCATTAACAAAAATAGCCATGAGAAGTTGAAGAAGACACAAATAAATGGAAGGATATACAAGGCTCATGGAATGGAAGAATTAATATCATTAAGAAGTCCATACTTTCCAAAGGAATCTACAGATTCAATGCTATTCCTATCAAAGTACCAATTGCATTTTTCACAGAACTAGAACAAATAATTCTAAAATTTATATGGAATCACAAAAGACCCCAAATAGCCACAGCAATCTTGAGAAAGAACAACCAAGTTGGAGGTATCACACTTTCTGATTTCAAACTATACTACAAAGCTATAGTTATCAAAGTATTATGGTACTGGGACAGAAAACAGATGCACATATCAATGGAACAGAATAGAAAGCTCAGAAATAAACCCATGGTTATGACTAAAAATGCAAGAATATAAAATGGGAAAAGATAATCTCTTCAATAAATGGTGTTGGGAAAACCAGACACTACATGCAAATATAAAAAAGAAAAAGAAAAGAAACTGGGCCACTTTCTTACACCCTATAAAAAATAAACTCAAAAAGTATTAAAGACTTAAATGTAAGACTTGAAACCATAAAACTAGAAGAAAACATAGGCAGTAAAATCTGTGACATCAGTCTTAGCAATTTTTTTAGATATGTCTCCTCAGGTAAGGGCAACAAAAGTAAAAATAAACAAATGGGACTACATCAAACTAAAATGAAATGAAAAGACAACATACCGAATGGGAGAAGATATTTACAAATATCTAATAAGGGACTAATATCCAAAATATATAAAGTACTTACACAACTCAACATCAAAAAACAAACACTCCGATTAAAAATGGCCAGAAGACCTAGATAGATATTTCTCCAAAGAAGACATACAGATGGTCAAGAGATTCATGAAAAGATGCTCAACATCAGTCATCAACAGGGAAAAGCAAATCAAAACCACAATGAGCACTGTATCACCTCCCACCTGTCAAAATAGCTATTAGGAAAAAGAAAACAAGTAAGTGTTGGCAAAAATGTTGAGAAAAGGCAACCCTTGTGTACTATTGGTGCAATTGTAAATTGGTGCAGTCACTATGGGAAATAGCATAGAGATTACTCAAAAACTTAAAAATAGAATGACTATATGACCCAGCAATTCCACTTATGGGTATTACCTGAAAACAAATGATAACACTAATTTGAAACGATATATGCAACCTCATGTTCATTGCAGCGCTATTTACAATAACCAAGATATGCAAGAAACCGAGCTGTCCATTGTTAGATGATAAGGAAAAGGTGGTATATATGGAATATTACTCGGCCATAAAAAAAAAATGAAATCTTGCCATTTGCAACAACATGGATGGACCTGGCGGGTACTATGATAAATAAGGTAACTCAGAGAAAGGCAAATACGATATGATCTCACTCACATGTGGAATCTAAAAAACAATACAAATGGACAAACAAAACAGAAACAGATTAACAATACAGAGAACAAAGTGATGGCTGCTAAAGGACAGGGCAGTGGGGGATGGGCAAAAAGGTGAAGGGGATCAAGAGGTACAAACACCCAGTATAAAATAAATAAGTCAGAGGGATGTAATGTACAGCATAGGGAATAAAGTCAGTAACATCGTAACAACTTTGTATGGTGACAAATGATTACTAGACTTATGGTGGTGGTAGCTTCATAAAGTATATAATTGTCAAATCACTATGTGGTACACCTGAGACTAACATATTATTGTATGTCAACTATGCTTTACTAAAAATTTATTTTAAAAGAAAAAATAATTATAAATCATGTTGATTAATGTTTGGAGAAACAAATACTTTTTCATATTTTGCTGATGGGGGTCCAAATTTGTGAAAATTTTCTGAAGAGAAATTTTGCATATATGAATACTGAAATGTGCATCATCGATCAAAAACTTTTCACATATATCCTGCAGAAATAATTACATGTGTACATAAAAATGTATATAGATAGATAGATAGATAGATATTCACTACAATATAATTTATAACAGCAATTAACCAAAAGTTCCATAAAGCATAAAAGTCCAACAGGGAATTTATAAATCATCTCTGAGACTGAATGTTATGTAGCCTTTAAAAATTATGTTTCCAAGGAATATTTAATGACATGAAGAAATTTTCATAACATAAGGAAGAGTGGGAATAAGTAATATGCGTAGTACATATATTATCATCTCATGTTTTATTGCACAGGATAAATGAATAGAAAGAAGCCACCAATGACAGTTATCTTTCAGTGGTATCATTGTGAAAAAGATTTCTTTCTTTTTCCTTCTTATAGTTTATGAATTCTTTACAATAAACAATTATTTTATAAGTTGAAAAAGCAACAAACATTTTCAAAAGGTACAGTCCTTCTCGTCTCCTAAAAGTTACAGATGGTGCTGAGTAGAATGTGGGGTGTCATATAGTTTTCATGGCCTTTTGGGAGGAGAAGCTTCTACATGGTGGTCAAGGGAGGTCAATGTCAGGAGAGGAGAAATAAAAATACATCAAGCCATGTAAGGAATTCTCAGAGTTGATAAAAAGTATCGTAAGAGGAATAAACGCTGTTGTGATAATTTATTTTTTTTAAATGTTAATATCTAAACTCTTGTTATATGGTCTCCTGTTGTGCTTTTAATCATCCTGTGCTAAAATGTATCCTAGTCTTATTAAAGTTCTAGATTCTTCAAAAGCAGGCCTGCCTCAGTGTACCAGAAGCATTTTAAAATATTGGAGTATAAGACATTTTTTTTTAAAGGCTATATTCATGAAGGGTCATATAGCAAGATATGGTAACACATATAAAGAAACTTAAAAATATTAAAACAAGGCATAGAATTACCGTTTTAAGGAGTCATGTATTGGTAGGTTCTGTACAAGAATAGGAGGAAGTCCTTGACCTGGACTAGTCACAGATTTTATGAAGAAATGAACAATCCTGGAAGACTGGCTGGGTGTTAGGAAGGACGAAGAAAAAGGGAGGCCTTTCACGGGAGAGAGATGTATCAGTTATCTATTGCTATGTAAGAAATGACTCTAAAACATAGTGACTTAATACCACCATGATTCACAAAAAGAAGAAGGATGAGAAGGGAGGGGGAGAGGAAGGAGAAGGAGAAGAAGAAGAAGGCAGCCATATCCTTATGACAACTGTGTTGAATTTACTGAAAATCTCAGACATGTCTTAACCAGAGAAAGCAGTGACGCTGGTCCTTTCTCCCTCACCTCCAGCCCTATCGCCTTTTAAAGATGATTACAGCGATCATTGCAGCAAGATCGCAGTATCTTGGTCAGACAGGCATTCTTTCCTACAAAATGAATGTCAGATTAGTGCCTGCTGGTATCAGTAAAGTGCACCTGTGTTTTGCGTTTAAGTCCAGTAGCTTTACCACCCAAGGTTCTGAGGTGGGGACCATAAGAGCAGTACATTCACACTTGGGAAACTTAATTGGAGCAATTCATCACTCAGCGGTAGACGCCATCCGATTGTCCTTCCAAGAAAAGCTTTTGAAGGCAAGAGACAAGGGGGTCATTTCTCCTACACTGTTGGGGGCCGGGCGTGCTTAGACACTTCCTAAAATGCTTGACCTCTCTGCTCAGGGGGACTGCAGAGTTCAGGGGTAATACGGAAGAAAGTTTGAGGCTTTCTTTGTGAGATTTTTACACATAATGATTTTTTTTTTCCTTTGGCAAGGAAAACCTTGTACTTTTGATGAAAAAGAATCTTTATAATACCGGTATGTATCCAATCAGTAAATTCTGCAACTTCCAAGAGATAACCCTCTCATGATAACCATGCCCTTTAAGATAAATGCTGGCATTGGGAGAGACCTGATTTAAATTCTAGTACTTTCTCCAAACTCTACCCCCTTTTCATCCTCTGCTCTGGAGTATAAGAAGAAACTCTGATGCCTGCACCAGAACTGGTTAACTCCTACAAATCTGCTGCCAATAGGCCCAGAAAATTACTTCTGGTTGGAGAGTACAGTGACATTTGTCTACTTAACGTGGGGAGCCTGGAATCAAGAAAAAGATATTAATAGACTGAAGTGTGGGATGAGACTAATAACAATGAAAACACAATAAGAAATAAAAACACAATCATCTTTTTATGTACAAAGTACTTCTTACATACTGTGTCAATGATATCAATACCTTCTCTCTTCTCCCAGTGCAACGTCATTTCATTACATTTTTTGGACCTCTCTAGTGCCAAGACTGATCCAATAGCCGCTTGATATTATCATGACACTACCTTTCTACTCAGATCCCACCTGAGATAGAGACTGTGACAAATTTATAGAGACTGTGTCAACATAACTGAGCTATATGATATCCAGTTGTTTGGTCAAACACTGGGCTAGATGTTGCTGCGAAGGTATTTTTTAGATGTGATTAACATTTACATCCATAGACTTGGAGTAAAGCAGATTACCTTCCAGAAGGTGGGTGGGCCTCATCCAATCAGTTGAAGGCCTTAAGAGAAGAGATTGAGGTCCCCTGAAGAGGAAGAAATTCTACTTCCACATTGCCTTTAGATTCAAAACTGCAACATCAACTCCTGCTAGAATTTTCATCCCTCTGGCCTTCCCTGTAGATTTTGGACATATCAGGCCCTACAATTGTGAGCCAGTTCCTGAAAGTAAATCTCTCTTTCTTTCTCTCTATATATACTCGTATATCCTATTGGTTCGATTTCTAGAGAATCCTGAATAGTACAGAGGCTAAAGAGCAATGAAAAATTATGATTATTTGATATAAGCAGAAAGTATCCTAAAGAGACAGATGTATATATTTTTTGCTGTTGATAGAATATGTAGAACAGGGTGAACTACATCCAAGAAGAGTGGATTTAAGGCTCTGAGAGCCAGAACATGCTTGATGTGTTTTCACTAAAAAAAGAAAAACACATTATGCCCTCCAAGAATCATCATAATAGTCAACACAAATGTGGCAGCGTCATGCCATAGAAAAGATGCTGAATTGGGATGAGAAAGACTTTATGTGTTTTTGATCAGATTATTTAACTTCTAAACTTCTGAACATCTATAAAATGAAAATAATAAAATGTACCTCAGGATTTTTATGAGAATTAAATAAGATATGTAAAGTGGATCTGACCTACAGTTAACACTAAAAAAATTGCAGCGACTGTCAATATTATCCTCATCATTATTACATGTGTAATATTGATGCTGCCTTGTAAGTTTTCATATGGTTAGTTGAAAAGCCATTAAAATGCCAGTAGATGACACGGACCAATAAGCATCATCATAATAGTATAATTAGGTATTATGACAGTAGTCACAATATACTGACTATCTAATGTTTCAAAAACATGCTGATGCCTTGGACACCTAATCTTATTTAATTCTCACCACAACACTGTGAGGCATGTTTTTTCAGAGAAGGAAAAGCAGCATCACAAGAGTTAAAGAACTCTTTTAAGTTCACACAGCTAATAAATGGCAAAGGAGAAACTCCAGCCTAGGTTTGTTTGACTCCAAAGCCTGTGGTTTTTTGTCCCAATGACTCTTCAGGTCAGTCATTCGCCCACATTCCAGGACCACATCTGTTTGTTTATATTAAATGCCTGGTGCCCGGCTTGATGTAGATGCACAGCACAAATACATGAGTGAAAGGAAGGAAAGAAGGAAATAGGTCTCCTTAAAGTCATTCTCTCCACATCTGTAGCAAGGAACTGTGTATGCATCATACTTGCCTGGATGGTGAATGGAACAGGTTCTTGCCACACTCGACCATCCACAACAAAGCCTTGGTGTGTCCCGTCGGTAGCCACAAAAGTGAAGCAATCAGTCTGGGGGCCCCGTCCTGAGTGCCTGTAGACCACATTCCCGCTGTCTACGTCCTGCTGAGTGAAATTGTGTTGATTCAACACTGCCCCCTGCAGGTAAAGCTGGCCATGTTGTGGGAGCTGGACCAAAAAGAAGGTGAGGTTCTCCACGGGAGTGTCAGGGTCTGTCAGTTGAAGGAGGTCAGGGGAAAGCAGGCCCATGGCCCCCTCAGCCAGTCTCAACCCCCTGTTCCTGGTCACCACGGGGAAGGCTCGGTCCACAGTCTCCAGGACGATCTGTAACACTCCATGCTTGGTCTGCAGGCCATTGCTGACAATGAATCTGGCAAAGAGAGGCAAGGCAGTCTTCAGCATGGATTCTTGTGTCACCATCTACTGGAATGAAATGATAACAACACACGCCTTTACTAAAGGATATGTCGTGTTGGGACTCAAATGAAAAGTCAAAGGCGGGCCTTTCAGGAGGACACCATTCTATTCATTAAACAAGTCACTAGGTAACACACAAATTGCCCATTCTACACCCAACAGTATTTTCTCACTAATATTGATGATAGGCTCTTCTGACGGAGCAGGCTACTTCTGCCAATGATATTTCTCAGGCTTGTCAGTGCTTAGTGTTATTCTTTGCGCCCCCCAAAAAGGAATTTCACATCAAATTAGACCCATTGCAAGAGTTTAAAGAATATACTCATTTTATATAGTTATACTTTTGCAACTGTGTTTTCTTTGTGGGAATTTAATAAGCTAAACTTTTAAGACTGATACTTGGGGCCAATTCAATGAAGTGCTGAGTAGATTGAATTTGGCTAACTCACTGTATTCATATATCTGTGGTATATTTCTTAGGGGCAGATCACATTACTCAGCCATGTAATCGTGCCTACTCATCCCGCCTTTCTGGGTCTCATTTTCACACTTCTGTAAAGTGAAAAATGGACCAAATGATCGCTAAGTAGCATCCAGCTCTAAAATATCATGTGATGCTAAAATACCTTACTTTTACTTGTGCTTCTACATTTGCCCCTTACAAGATATGTGGGAGTTATGATATACAAGGATTGCTTCCCAGCTTTAAGGAAAATCAAATTCTAGCAAAAAGGTTCAGAAACATGGTGGGAGGTCATAAGGCAGGTAGGAGTCAGGTGAGACTAGAACCCAGGTGTTTGGACCCCACACTTTCTGTTCTTGAAGAGGGTTTAATAAATGCTGGCTTAGCTGATAGCACAACTTCAGAATTATAAAGAGGAAGCTGGAATGATATAAATTCAAGGTAAGCAAAATCTCTCTCATAATCCTGGGTTTGTGATACCATAGATTGCTTCTGATTATATTGATCACTAAATCACATTCCACCCACCACTGCCAATCTCAAAATAAAACTAATTTAAATGATCTTTAGAACACCTCAATGTGCAATTTTTACTTTAAGGAGAATAGACAGTGTCATGAAATTAAGCAAACAAAATACACTATTAAAGACTCCAAAGAGTTAAGAAATCACTACTTGCAAAATAAATTAATGAATTCACTATAGACCCCAAAACTGTACTTCAAAATAATCATGGAGTTTTTTCTATATGTTTTTTCCTATGTACTGTAGTTGCTAGCAAATATTCATGGAGAACACACTCTTATATTCCATAAATGTAAAAATCTCTAAAAATAAGTTTAGGTGAATATAACATTAAATTATATAAGGATATTTTCTGCAGGTTCTTTATTTTGAACTAGAGAAAATATGGAATTTATGTTTGTTTTACTAATATGACAAATTTGGCTACCACATTCTAAATGTGTCTTGTCCTTCCAGGTCTGAGGGTTGTCGCTTTGCTTTTCAACATGAAGGAACCTGAAACCAGGTTGTGTTGAGTCGACCAGCTTGCCTGAGGCAGAGGACTCAGGAAGGAGAGCAGCTGGACAAAAAGCAATGGGAGAAGACTTAGGCTGATAAGATTTTGCTTTGAAGGCTAGGCTAAAGTTTTTGAGCTTTTTAATTATCTAGTTGATAAGACTGCCTACAAGAACAATATGATGCATGGAAAAAGGAATCTATGTCCAAAAAGTTAAAATTGCTAGGAGAAATAAAACAAAGCAAATTTCAATATTTCACACACCTAGACTTGTAAAAAATAGAAACTGTTTTTGTTGTTTGTTTTTGCCTCAGCATTACTGTACAGTTTAAATAAGGGTATTGAATTAACTTGAGAATTGTAGATTGAACAAAATCACCTTGTTTCCTTAAAAGAATTACTTTTCCTTTTGTAAAGCTGAATTTCTGATAAATATATTCAAGCAAATAGGGTAATTTCACTGCTGAATCATGAAGTGTTTACAGAATTCGTTATTTTTTGAAAAGAAAATAGAAGCATGCCCAGAAATATATCTGTGTTCAACCTTTTACTTATTAGTCACCTTGACACTTCAAAGGTCAAATGACATACATTTTTAGGTATAAAAATCACGATCTATTTCTTAGGGGAAGGTTTTCATGGAATTATGCCTTTATTTCACTGTTTCCTGTTACTGTTCCATATTTCCTCCCTGAAGTCTATCCACTGACTAGCGGTAAAACAAGGAAGAGGCTGGGTACATATTCCCTCAGTGCTTCCAGTTTTCCCCTTTTCCAGTTAACCCCGCAATAAACATGTTTCATGACTCCCAGTTGACCCTCTTCCACAAACAAAGTGGATCTCTATTCCCTTCCAGATCTCTGTTTCAAAATGTGCTCCTATGGAGAGTTTTAAACCAGCCATTTATAGTTTAGTATAAATTTAAGCCAAAAGACAGATATTTTTAGTATATGCATTCATTGTGGAGTTAAATTCTTGTGCCCCATTAAAACATGTCAGATATCAGTGGAGAAGGAAGGGGAAAAATGGGAGAGACGGGGGTCAGGAGCAAGGAGGGTAAGTGGGAGCTCTAGTGACCCCCAGGGGCTCTCCAGAGGTGGCCATTTTCAGCATCTGGTTCCGACTTTTTTCTCTAGAGACTGAATTCTAAAAATACCTGACCGGGTCCTCAAAGCTCAGTCTCAGAATGGCTACGTGTATCTAGGAACTTGTGACCTGTGCGAGGGCAATGAAGTTGCCTTTATGATCCAGGCCGTCCATCTCAAAAGCCTCTCTGCCTGACGATGGGGATCTGACCACGTCGGAAATCGGCAGCCTGCCATCAGACAGATGGGAATGAGGGCACGCAGGGCAGGGACCACATAAGAGAAAGAAATATGTTTACTGAGGCCCGTGTTCCCAGCTGGGACACCGAGGCAGCTGTCTGCATTGACCTAAAGCTAATAAGCCAGTGGTGAAAAGGATGCAATTTCTAAACATGACTGGATCAGACACATCATTCACTTTCACGTGTAACAATGCAAACTACTCACAGGCAGAGAAACACTATCAGAGAGAGACAGGCAGGGGGAACAGTCATGGTTGGCTTCCCAGTCAAAATAAGCCTAGCAGAGCAAATGCAACAAGGTCAGGGCTGTTCACGCGTGCAAAGGTTAACCAGATGCTCTTCCAAACATTTCCCTCCCGATCCCCACAGAAAGGCGCCAAATATATTCTCAAGTTTTCATACAACAGTGCCACTGCCATGATGGCATCCATTCCAAGGTTAAGAAGCTGGTGGTATCAAGGTCGCAGCTCCTTCTGTGGGTCTGTTTTGTTGAACTTCCTTGATTACACTTCCCAGAGATGAGACACAGCCAAGATGACCACTGTTCTCACAAAATTTGGGGAATGACTCTCTGATTTGTCTGGGTGCCTGCCTGGTCTGATTTCACCATTACCATGGTGCTTTCAAGCTTTCCGCATTTCCTGGCACTAGAGTTGGCTGAAGAATCTGCCATCTGTCATGGCATTTAAAGGATAAAAATGGAATCATAAATAGAGCCAGTTCCTCAGGAAAAAAAAAAAAAGAAAAAAGAAGTCCAGCCGGCATGTCAAAATGGAGGACATTAGTATGTTCTTTTAGTACACGGCTGCCAGCAGCTGAAGTCAGCTTGCTAATCACTCGGTGTCATCTGTCCTAGAATGTGCTGCCAAATCTTTCTTCCAGGCCAGCAGCACCAAACAATGCTGGAGAAATTTATGATTCACAAAATATTTCTGCAGAAGGCAAAATCTAACCATTAACCCCCCCCCCATCTCGTTTAATTAATGCTGCCATATCTTCCATTAAAAAGAGAAGAGGGGGAAAAAAATCCTCTGCCACAGAATTTATCTCTTCTACACCGCCAAATTCCTTGCCAGATTGAACAGCACGAGACATAAATTTAGGTGATTAGATCGGTTGCATAGATTTAATTTTTAAAAAGCACCATGATCGCACTTTCATTAAAACAGGCTTTCAGCTCCTTTGGTTTAGCACCGCTTGACAAACAGCACAGCAGTCCCTGATTGGGTTAGGGACATGACAAGATTAAAACGAGGGTCTTGGGCAGATGCTATGCTCTTCCCTTATAAATATGTAGAAACTGCTGGCCGAACACCAGAATGACACATGGAGGAGGTTCCTTTGCACAAGGGCAGATTCCCCACAAATTATTGGGACAATGAGGTATAACGGAAAGAACTCTCCAACATGAGACATGGGCCTAAACACAGCTCTGATACTCAGCTATGTCAGTTTAGGTGACTTTCCTTTTTGCCTGTTGGGCTCTCAGTGTTCTCATGCATAAAATGGGAACAAAGCATCTCTTAAAGTGATGTTGTCCAGAAATGAAATACAAAAAAGGGTCTAGTACACTGTCTGATACATTGCAAGTGCTCAAGCAATACTAGCTTTCCTACGTGTAAATGAAAGGATTGGACTAAGTCAATGCTGTCAACCTTTGTCATTTGTTTATTTTCTGCCTATACACCCGTTTCCTAATCTTGAGTCATTCCAACATCACCGTCATAATTTTTGCCATTTGCTTGTACTGCCTGTACTCTTATTAGTTAATATTTTGCTTTATTTCAATAACTCACATTTTTACTTACATGTACTTAAAAGGAAACCTTTTAATGACTAAAAAACTGAAGGATTTAACTATTAAAATCTTCATCTTTATAACTACTACAAAAATACATATAAGAAAAGAATCTTTTTTAATTCTAGCCAGATATTGTTGCCCAATGGCTTGCAGCCTGAGGCCTGCTCTTTGTTAAAAAGGGAAACAGTAAACAACGAAAAGCTCTTAAGGACATATGAGCATTTAGCCTGGGAATTCCTTCTGGAAACAGGCAGAAGGATGGAGAGAACTAAAAGGGAGTGGTTTCTCATTCAATTCCCTTCTTCCTGCGCCAGCCCATCTCATTTTGAAACTTTATATCATGGTGGTACAAATCACTCACTTTGGGAAACAGAGCCACAGCCTTCCTGCCAAAAGAAAATCTTGCCCAGAAGAAACCCAGTGTGCAAAACAAACCAAACATTAAACCATCAAAACGCAAACCAAAACGAAGCTCTATTAATAAATTGGGGTATGGGCCCAGAGCCCCACCCATTCAGCCCCTTTATTTTTTGTCCCTGGGAAGCCCTGAAAGGGCTTCTGTACTTTCTCTAAACTCTTCAGAACATACTTAGAACAATGGACTGGACCAGACCAGTGATTCCTAGTCCTGACTGCATGAGAATCAGCTGGAGAGCTTTCAAAAAATACAGATTCCTGAGACAAGACTTACCAAAGTCACCTCTCTGCAGTGAGGCCCAAGAATTCGTATTTTTATAAATCTCCCAGGTAACTCTCTTGAGGGTCTAGAAATTTAGAAATTCCTGGGATAAATGATTTCTAAAATGCCATCGTGCATGAGTTTCTATAGGTATGATGAATTGGAAATGTTTTTGCAGTATCACCAATCCTCACATATGGATATTTTGGTCTTCACTCTCAGCTCATCACCACCATCTGCTTAATACCTAACATTCATTTTTGAACATCTTTACTCATTTAGTCATTGGTTTCTTCAGCAGGGCCACTGGTTTCTCCAACACAGTTATTAATGTCTTTATCAGACTCTCTGGTGGGCACTGACTAGGGGAAGCAGAAATAGACACGAGTAAGTAGTTCTAGAAACAACTCTAAAATTAAAGGCCCTGAATCTGATATACATAGATTAAACCAAGAAGCACCCACTCTCCAGTGATAAATGGGGAAAAAAGAGCAATGTAATTTGTGTTCTCCTTCAAGACGATGCTTGGTGTTATAAAGATTGGAGGGGAAAAAGGGAGCCAAGGAAAGACTATAATAAAAAATGATAACAACAACAGTAGTAGTAATAATAGCAGCTAATACTTACTTTGTTCTTCCTATGTGCCACATATTGTTTTAAGTACCTTATATGTGTAGGCTCATTGAAAGCTCCCAACCGCCCTGTGAGGCAGGTACTATGGGCATCATTCCCTTTCACAGAAGAGAAAATGCAAGGACAGGAAGATGTGAGACTTGATGTAGGCCAGTGGCGACAACAACGGAAGTAAATGGACAAAGTATTGGTGGCCGTAACTGACCTCAAGCCTATACCTCAGCAATTATACTATAAAACTTCTTGAGAGAAAGAACCAGCATGAAAAGGGATCCCCACATGTTATTTTATTTAATGACTAGCAACATTCAAGCACTAAATTGGCTATGAAGAGATTGATCAACCAAATGATTATCAAATGAGTATCTGCTTGTTAAGGACATTCGTCAAGAAAAAAAACAAAACAAGATATTACTTTAAACGTCCCTGGATATTTTGTTTAACAGTTGAACTATCCAAATCATCCTTCTCAATGCTAAAAAGGCAAGCAAACTCATCTTTACTGACATTTAAACAGTGCTTATCAAAGCAGACATAGTGAACTGAGATAGATAAAATATATAATAGAGTGGTATTTGAACATGGGTGTATCGGTACACTTGACAGTTTATGGGAACCCACTGAATAATATGGGATTATGCTACATTTATGGTGCTCTTTTGAACGTTGTATTCTGATGTAAAAATTACCCAGAAGCCATGAGTGTATGGCAGATGAACTAATGCTCTCAGGGCCTCCTTCTTAATTGGTAAAACTTTGGGTTGGATATATACCATGGTTCCCCCAATAGCTAGTCCAGGATTTCTTGGTTTTCAGCCCAGCCCTGAAGACCTGTATTTGTATCAAGGAGCTTGACTTCAGCCAGCTTTGAGAATTGCTAGATGATAGATTCTCTAAAGTTTCTCTTGCTTTGTGTGACTAGAAACAGATTTCAGTATTTTAAATGAATGTAGATTTTCATTAATGTTGTATCTTTGCCTTTTCACCAGATTGTTATTCATGCCAATGATTTATTTGATACAGAATCTTTGAACAGGTGCACAGCCCCCAATTATAACACTGTTTCTATGGGGAAATATGATCCACTATATGACAACATGATTTATGATATAGTTACTGGAACACATTGTGTCACACGGCAGTGTCTGCTTATGCCAAATGTTTACTAGTAAGTACTTTTCCTCATATAGAAAAATACACTAAAAAAAAAGTGGTAAATTACTCTTCTATGTCTCTCCTTAGCTGGCATCCTCAGGGCTTCACATCCTCCTCAGAACAGCTTGCCTTTAAGTCTGCTTATGTATTTGTTTATTTTTAAACAAGCCCTAATTTCTTGCCTTGCTGCTGTTATTTTAATTGTGTACCTTTACCTTTATACAGCTAGTCAATAGAAGAACACAGCTATACCAGAGCTGTAAAAGGACTCAGTTTTGCCCCTCACTTTGTCTTTCTAAGCATTAACCCAGTGACGGGTTTCTGAAACGTTTCCTTGGGGCTCACCTGAATGTGTCACTGGAGACAGGGTCCTTGCTCTTATGTACGTAGCAGACTATCTGTCCTGCTATATCCATTTGGCTGAAACTTGTAATAGGGACTCCAGGGTAGTGGACATATTCCACTTGGCCATATCGCGGTGGGGAGGTGATGACGTAGAGCAGCTCCTCAGGCTTGTCTGTTCCGTCCATAGCAAGGAGAGTGCTGGTCGTCAAGAAACCCCTGCCTCCTGTAGACATCACAAGGGGTTTCTCAAGGATGACAATATCACCTGGAAGAGATTGTGGTCAAGAAGCCTATTTCAAAAAATGAAATGTCCAAGGTAAAGATAAAAATGGTCAAACTGTGTGGGATTCAAACCTAACATGATGTGGAAAGGTTTATAGAACTATGATTAATGAAAGAATGAGGCAAAAGATATGAGAAGATATGACATAGAAGAGGAAACACAGTTGGCCAATCATGATACCAACAGATGCTCAATCTCAGTAACTGTGGAAATACAAATCATGATCACAGTAAGTTGTCATCCTGCAATCCACCAATTGGCAAAAATATAGAAGTCTGATGATACCAAGTGTTAAAGAGGATGTACATCAAGGGACTCTTTCATATGATTCTGGTAGAAGTATAAATTGGTACACAATGTGGCGTGATTTTGTAAAGAGTTGAATATCATCTACGCCTTGACCTAGTGATTCCACTCCAGCTGGGTGCTGGGCAGAAACACGTGCACTGACACCCAGGAGACAGGTACCAGAATGGTCACTGCAGCACTGTTGGTAATTGAAAATGCTGGAGACAAGCCAAATGCCCTTTCAAAAGGTGAATGTATAAACAAACTGTGGTCTATTCATACAACTGAATCGTGCACAATAGCAAAATGAATGAACTACGGCTACATACAATACAGATGTAGCTTATTAGATTCGTTATTTTTGTGAGCAAGTCCCAGAAAACTATAAACAAAAGTAAGAAAATAATTAACACAGAATTCAGGAAGGCGGTTTTCTCTGGAGGATGGGAAGAGCACGGAGGTAGGAGGTAGATGTTCGTTATTGCAAATGGTCCAGTCCTCAAATTGCATGGCAGCTGCACAGGTGTTTGTTATGTATTTTTAAAAGGACGTATGGATGAGCGTATGAATGAATGAGGTAGAAGTGGGTCACATGTGGGCTAATGATACAGTGGTTTACAAAATATGGATTATAATTCAATTCCATTCATTAAAAAAGAGTTTGACTAAAATATAAAGCTTCTACTTTGTGTTAGGCACTGGCCTGAGGATTTTACGTCTTCACACCAACTCTGTGAGGTAGGGTATTATCATATTTTTCAGGTTATAAACAAGGAAATTAAGGTGTAGAAATGCTAATTTGCTAATTATTACACAATTAATAAAACGTGGAGCCCATCTGACTCAAAAGTTCAAACTCAAACACTATTATTTTGCTTCCTCTCTGTAATATATAGGGATTTCTTATAAATCAACACTAAAAGGGTGAATGTCGAAAAGGAAATGTGAGTGAAGTAAATGCCAAGCCAATCCTAAATTTAATAATACAAATAGTCGGTAAAATTTGGAAATGATATTCAGTCCCATGAGGAAACAAAAACTGAAAATAAAACATCACGAAGATATAACTTTAGCCTGGTGGTTCTCAGTGAAGGGCCATTTGGCGATGTCTGGAGACATTTTTGGTTGTCATAATTGGGAGTCGCTACTGGCTACTAGTGCACAGAGGCCAGAAATGCTACCAAATATCCCACAGTGCACAAGAAAGTCCACTCCAACAAAGAATTATCCATCCTAAAATGTCAATATCCCAAAATGTCAATAGCACCAACATTGAGAAACCTTGCTTTAGATGATTAAATTAGTCTTTTTGGTATACTATGCTTTTAACTCAAAATATGATGCAACTTACATCCAATGTAGGATCAATGACTATCCTGACTTTAAATCAAAACCCGAGCCCCACATGCTTCAGAGAAAGTAAAGATGAACACATCAAAGCAGTAAGAAGAATGAGCAAAGGCTGGAAAAACAAAACTCGCCCACAAGGGGTTTCGTCAGGAGCAGGAGATGGATCTGAGGGGAGAAAGAGCATCTGGGTTTTGCCTCAGTGCAGTTTTTCAGCTTTGTAACGGCAAAGTATGGAGCAGGGTCAACTACAGATATGATGTCCTTCTAAACTTCCCGCAAAGATCTCCACGTCATTTTAGCTCCCGTGCAATTCAGAAGACACAGCACAACTGGAAGGACTAACGTGACTTATAACAGCTCCCAAATGGAAATAACCCAAAGTCTCAATATTAGGGTTAGGTTGTAGTCTAACAATTCAATATAGTTTTATTTAGAGATGAACAATTATGGTCTCAAAGTTATGCTGCAAAACTTGGGAAAACTCATGCTAAGAAAAATAAAAAGGATCCAACAGACACAGTACAGATATAAAACCACGCTGTAAAAAGAAACAGAAGAAATTTGGAGCTTCTGACAATGTTAATAGGTTAATGTATCTACTTGATGTAAGTGTTCACAAGTCCTTTTAGAAAATAATCACATGTCAGTTGTAGCAGACTGGGGAGGCACTCATCAGCCTCATTTGCTTTTCTTCCTGGGCACACTGCAAGGGCTTCTACTGCCCAGCCTCCCTCAATGTAGCATGTAACTGTGATTCGGCAACTGGGTTGTGTAGAAAACAGGTACCTCCAGGCCTAGCCCATGAAATTCTCTTATTTTCCTCCACATCTCACTGCCAGACTGCCTCCAAGGCCTTCAGACATGAAGGATCCTCTAGCTAGAAAGTTACCCCAAATGGCTACCTGGAACAAAACCCCCTCCACCCTCACCCCACCCTCCACGAATACACTGTGCGAAGGCAATGAGAAGATAATATGCCCTAACACATTAGTTGTTTGCCCTGATATATTTACTTGTGTTATATTTTGCCTGAATATATACTTAGGATGAACAAGTCTTACTTTTGCAGAGAAATAAATGTGTGCAGTAATATCTAGCTAATCTAAGAGTCACTTATTAGACATAATAAAGGAATATATTTTTACAATAAGCAAACAAATAAAATATATTATTATGTAGCCCAAAATAAACATCTCAAAATCTGTCAATCAAAATTTGTTTGAAAAGATTCAAGACAATTATAATTCTACCATGCACATGAAGTACGATATTTATTGCAGGTAAGCATCCAATTTAGCTCTGAGTTTCCTGGCAGCCAAGGCAAAAAAAAAAAAAGGATATAAGACTATGCTTGGTTCTGGGAATATATAGATCCTGGACTATATAAACGAATGAAATATGATCCTTAGCCTCCTCATGTAACCTCTAAGCAAAAGTATGGGGTAATGACAATTGGGCATACCTTGCTCACCTTTTTTCTAGTATTTTCACTGTCTGCCCTTCACCATTTACAAACTCTGAATCCTGTTATGCAAATGATCTGCTTAATTAATTCAAGAGAAGCTTATTATCTTGTAGTCTTCTCCCTTGACCCTAAAGAGTATGTATTATCACTTTCAAAGTGAAAAGAGCAACAACTTCTAACCATTTCAATTATTTTTAAAAATATTTTATTATTTTTTATTTTAAAATGAATTTATTATTGTTTCCTTTTTATTATTATTGTATTGGAAATACTTTTTCCTTTGAAACTCCATTTTCAAGTAATAATTCACTTTCTAAATATAAAACACATTGATTTGGCAACTTTTGACTTAAAGCAAAAACCCTGGTAAAGTAGCATATGCAGCCATGTTGTGGGCAAGGCTAATTTCCAGTAGGCGTTTTGCAATACTGAATGGATTAGCTATCCATGAACCTCAGAGATCCCAGACAATGCAGGTGAGGAGCCAAAGGATTGAATCATAAAGGATGGAATTTCAGGTATAAAGAATAGAAGGAGTGCAGCCGGCTGAGTGGCTCAGTTGGTTAAGAGCTCGCTCAAAGGTTTGAGCTCTGAGCAACAGCGGTTCGAGTCTGGCCCGAGTTGAGCTGCCGCTGAGCTGCCAACAGGTGGCAGGATGGCTCAGCTAAGAAAATAAAATAAAATAAAATAAAGAATGGAAGGAGAAAAGCAAAGAAGGGAAGGAGGGAGAAAGGGAGGGAGGGAAGGAAGGAAAGAAGCAAGAGAGGAAGGAAAGAAGGAAGAGAGGGAGGGAGGGGGGAGGGAAAAAACCTGAGTGCTTACAGCAGCTCACTTCTGGTTATAAAAGCTCATCCCAATAAACCCTAGTAGAAATGCTTTTACCTTTTCTCATGTCCTTGATGGTGATGTGACAGTCAAATGCAGGTGACTTGTTGCTGCCATCCCAGAGGTAGAAGGTGAAGTGGTCTTGACTTTGAGAATCCATTGCCCCAGTGTGTGTGTATCGCAGCAAGTTCAGATCCACTTCCTCCTGAGTGCATTTCATGCCAGGGTAGAGAGGGACCCAGTCCCTCCCTATCTGAAAGGTGCCAGAATTAGTCAGCTGCCTGTACTTTTCCTACCCCCAAAGCTGTGCTGGTGGACATTTTCTATATCCCCTGAAAACCTCCAATGTAAATCATATTTCAGAAAGACTCCACATTTTTTTTTTTACAGTTTACCTTTTTTTCCTTTCAAAGAAATATATTAAAACAATTTATAACCTTGGGGAAAAAATAACTTCAACCAAAGGATTTTTGACAAAAGTCATGTGGCAAATTCAACAGCAATGTTAATTCCAAGGTATTCATCATGAGTAATCATAGCTGATTAAATATTCCAATTAATGAGAGCAGGTGGGTAATTGAGCTGCTGGAATTGATTCTTTAAATATTAAATGTGTTTCACCTGGGGTTTCCTACTTTTTTTAGTTCATATCATTGTACAACTAATCAAACCTGTATTTTCAAACTGGTTTGTTAGAGGGCTTACCTAAAGAAGATAAAACAAAAATAGAATGGATGTACTTATGCCCTATACACTTTTCAGTCCAAGGAAAATTCTCAAGCTCCCTATCACTCTCTCTGTTATACTGAGTCAGCAAAAAAATATAACTGCAAATATCAGAATGTTTTTAAAATAAGCCAACATTAGTTAAGCATAATTCTGTACACAACTCAGTTCAGGAATTGTGGCATTTCCAATTAAAAGAAGTTCTTATGATCAGGGGAGCTGAGAATTGAGAGTATTATAAAGTATAATAATAATAAATCTGTATCTGATTAATAATATTGTTCTCTCAAGATACATAGCTTTCCCTAAACATAGCCTGTACACATCAATTTACATAGTTTAAGAAAAATGTCATCTTAAAAATTTAGTACCTGTTATTATCTTGCACTTTTCCTGTCTGATTTAAGAAACTAAAACAGAAATTTAAATCAGTCATTTTAAAATTTTTCTTGGCACATTATTCCACAGACTCCCAGGTCCTGCAAAAATGTTTTGTCCTCTCTTCTCATTGTATTACCACTTCCCTTTTTGTTACTCTATTTGGTAAAGTTTCCTCTTCTTTAATATGTTTGCTTATCTAAAGCTTGTACAAAGGTTAAATTCTGCCCCAGTACTCATGGGGTGAAAATTATATTGTAATAATTAAGCTTATTGTTTTCATCATAAGATCTATTTGCAAATCTAACTTTTAAAACAGATTCTCTTTCAGGTTTTAAACTGAACAGCGTGCAATTCTATTTAACTTTTTCCTTTGTAATCTTTTCCCTGGAAGTAATTACAGAAAAAGGTATCTCCTGTGCTCTCTCTCTCTCTCGCTGTCGTCTCCATCTAATTCCCCACTTGCACTCCCACATGGGAGCTCCGACTTGATGAAATTATTAGCAAGCCCCAAAAGAGAAAGAAAATAAGAGTCTGACTTAAGGTGGGGAAAAAACTAAGGAAAGTCAAGAAGAAAACAAAAATCCTACAGTCCTGGTCCCTGGTCTTGGAGAGACTTTAGGGAGAACCCCTAAAGAGCTGGGAGAGAATTCTATGGCGCCATACTGGGAACCTGGACCCATCTGGATTTTCACATATCCAAAACACTTCAGTTCCCATGCCACCCAAATGTGTGAGCTCTCACTGCATTTCTGCTTCATTACTCTTCGAAATGAAATAAGGACGCAGCTGTACCTCAATTTAAATCAGTGATTGCTCTTCACTCTGATTCTCTATGGTACCTATGATCTGAGACAACCAAGCTGTTCCACACAGAATGAATCCTGGCTGCTTTTTGAGGACTGTGCCTGTTACATTAAAAGTTAAGCATTCAGTTAAATAATCACTTTGGGGATGGTGGGTGGTGGTTGTTGTTAGCCTTAATTCACCATTCAAATAAACATTTTGAGAGATTACTCAAGTGACCTTTTCATGTGACTGATCTGTAATTTGTGTTGGGCTAATCCTTGGGCATCATGCACACAGCCTGAATCAGACTAGTGAACACCATTTGTTCCAAGACCAACTTTTCTTCACTGCATTGCCTCTGCGCCTTTGTCAAAGATCAGTTGACAATATTTGTGTGGGTCTATTTCTGGACTCTCTCTTCTGCTCCATTGACCTATCTGTCTATTCTTTCACCAGACCCACCCTGTCAGGATAACTGCAGCTTTATAGTAAGTCTTGAAGTCAGGTAGTGTCAGTCTTTCTATTTCGTTCTCCTTCAATATCGTGCTGCCTATTTCAGTTATTTTGTCTCTCTATATAAACTTTAATCAGTGTGTTGAGATCTACAACCACTGCTCTAAAAAATAAAATCTATTTAAAAACATTTTTAAATCCAGTGGGAATGAAGATATCTCAAAGGATACCTGATTCTTATCAGGAACTGGACAACTTGCTTTAGCCCGGTAACACCCTCCCCAAAAATTTAGGTACAATTCCAGGGGAAAGGGAGCCTTAATAGTGGTTGAATTTACCCTGAGTTGAATAAGAAAATTTAGAATAGTGTGAGTTCATGACAAACTTGGAAATTTCAGTTTTCTATTTGTAGGCAAAATTTAGCTATTATAGAATAAGATCAGTTACAGAAATCTATGTACTGAGAAAATTTGTATTATTACCTGCTATACTCATTTTGAGAAATAAAAGTAAAAAGGTCACTAACCTTAAGCTGAAGTTGCCCATTTTGGGGAAGTCTTTCAAATAAATAGTAAATCTTCTCCCTGGGTGAGTCTTCATCAATGGCTGAAAGAACAGCGCTAGAAATAATACGAGTTTCACCCATGTTCATTGTAATTTCAGCCTTCCTGTAAAAAGGAAGATGCCTGGGTTGGTGTGAAAATAGAAGGTATTGCTTTAGCAGGGGACACTCATAATGACAATTACAGTTTCCAATCTTCAACAACTAGGGAATGATAATCAATATCCAAAGTATTGAAAATGATGAGTTAGACTTATGAAATAGGCTCTCGTTTCACTATACACATGAAAGTCCTAAAGCGCAATTAACAACAATGAATAGGGTATGAGGTAATTACATTTTTCTATTGTTTACATATAAAGAACTTCACAATTTTATGTTACCATCTATTTTATAAAATGACTTTGTTTCTAATATTTTATTTCATACAACATCAGCTCCATGAAGTAAGTGGGCCAGGTATTATCATTCTAATTTTACAGAAACTTATTTACAGAGGTTAAATGACTTAACCACAGGTGTCCTGGTGCCCCATATGATATACCATTATAAGTCTGGTGATATTTAGGTAATCCATGGCCCTCTGCATTACTCTCCCTCTTCCTGTTAATGTTCTGGGGGCTAGTGTTCTCTTCACAGAGAAGCAGAGAGAGAGGGAAGTATGTTATGGTCCGGGTTACACTGAAGTATGTTATGGTCTTGGGACAAGAAATTTGGTACAGATAATTTATTTGCAAAGTGATTTCAGGAACAGGAAATAGAGTGAGGAGTAAGAGAAGAAAAGAGGAAAAGGCAACAAAGGGTGTCTGTACCGCTATGGTACTCAGTGCTGCTGGGGATCATTTGAAGAACGATGTAAAATATGCCTCAAATTGTGCTTCTGATGGATGGGAGGCTGGATATTTATCTTATCTACTAGCTCCCACAGGTTGAAAGCTGCCCTCAGAGGGTTTTCAGCTGTACCTGGATGGGGGCTGGATGAGCCACTGCTGCTTCAGAGAAGCCCTCAGGCAGAAAAGTGGAGCACACACTGTGGGCACCAGTGGGCATGGACAGAAAGTGTGCACAGTATGTCCCACCGCTATAATCAGAGGAGGGCTGAGGGGATGTGACCCAGGGAACCAAAACTATCTCCTATAGCCCTGGAAAGGAATATCAAAGAACGTGGCATGTCAGATGCTCTAACAGTGTCCAGTAAGATGAGAAGAGCCATTAGATTTGGTGGGGGAGCCAAGGATCACCTTTACAGGAGCAACGTGAATGAAGCAGTGGAGGTTGGAGGCAGTGGGCAGAAATGGAGGAAGCGAGCACAAGCTATCCCTCTCCAAAGAGTTTGTCACTGGAATGAATGAGGGACTGGATCATCTTTCTAGTTTTAGAATGAGGATACCTGCTTGTAATAATAATAACTACCACTTATGAGCACTTACTATGTTCTAGCCAGTCTTTCAAGCACTTTTACATATTTTAATTCATTTAATCTTTGCAACAACGCTCTACGTGGGATCCTGCCATTGTGCCCATTTGCAAAGAGGTTGACAAAGAGGTAAAAATAGGTTAAGTAACATGTTCAAAGTCACACCACCGGTAAGTGGCTAACCCAAGGCACTCTGGCTCCAGAATGTTTTCTCTCAACCACTAACTATATCCCTACATCTTGTTAGCAGAAGGAATGAAAACAGAGCGTTTGAAGATACAGGAGCGAAAATATAATGGAGCATACTCCCAGAGGAGGTAAGAGGCGATAGACCCAAGGACACATATGGAAGAGGAAGAAGCGGGGATATAACTTCTTCTCTACTGAAGACAAGGCTAGAAGAAAAGAAAGATGAAGGAAAGATTTTAAAGCAGGGCTGAAGGAGATTTGTAGATGTAGCTATGATTCTGTAGATGTAGCTATCCCAGGCAGTTTAATAGCAAGGACGTGACAAGAAATAGTAAGCCAGATAGAATTGAGTGAGTGCCTTATGTAAGTTATTTTACCTTTCAGTCTCAGCTTTTTCATTAGGGATGATATAATACCTACTTTCCACAGTGTTTGTGTGTATTTAAGGAAATAACATATGTGGAAAATTCCAATATTGTATCTGTCACATAGTAAGTACTTAATAAACACCAGTTTTCACCTCTCTCCCACCCTATTAGATAAAATGAGGTTATCAGAAAGGAGGTGTCATAATACTGCAATATCCTTCATATTTTCATTTTTATAAATCAAATCAAGGCACACCAATCCAACATTCCAGCTAGAGAATGAACAAATAGAAATTTCTGTTGAACACTCTTAGTCAAACTGATGTCTGAGATGCAACTCTCAAAAAAAATGTCATCGGTATTTCCCATAATACTTTTCAAGGGAACAGCAGGAAAGTCAGCAGGATAAAGTAGGAACTTGTTGGAGGTCTCTTTTCCGCAAAGTGGAGGAGACTTTGGGAGACTACACATTTTCAGAAAGTTGTTCACCTCCTGATAAAAGCTCAGACTGTCTACTCCAGGCCTCTCATGGCTGCACCATTGAATATAGAGGTGAGGCGGTCACGGAGCAAACACTTCTCTACACAAAGCACTGGAGAAGAGTTGGGCCTCCTAAAAGTCTAACCTTCTACACTTCTGTGCAGTGGACAATAATAAAAGAAATGGCTGGAGCTGTAGAAATATAATTGATGAAGACTCCGTATCCTATGATCAATCTCTGATCAACTATGAAGGGAGATATTGGGAAAGTCTGCAATTAATATCAGTTCGGCATTTTTAAAAAGTGATCATTTTGACATCAGGTGACAAGGTGTTGATCCATAGAGTAGAGGGCTTGTGGACAATGAAATATCAAGATGATAAAAGAAGTGGCACTGATATATTTAGTTAAAAGTTTGGCCAACTCCACAGTGAGGTCTGTCTGCAGTTAATATTATCACACTTTAGTTGAATCCATACATTAATTTCACTTTTGTGTGTGTGAGCCCATGTGTTTAAATATTTAGTATACTGCTCACTTTATACTCTATGTTCGCTCATTCTTAGTTATTCACAACTAAAAAGAACTTCTAGAGAATAATTAAGTCATTAAAGGGCTCATTGGAGAACTGTTGAGAAGCAGTTACATTAACTAACATTTGCACTCTGGGTGCCTGAGTAAGTGGGACAATTTGTGATGGGAGCAAAGACATCTTTCTCTCTGAAGACACACACTACATTCACACCTAGTGTTCTGGTCCTCAGAATTTTAGAGAGAATGTGAAAGGGACTCTTTTCAGGTAGCTTACTTGTTCAGCATTGGTTTCTCGTCATTGACTGGGGTGACCTCTACCGAAATGGTCTTAAGTATCTTATGTTTCCCATCCGACAGCTGGATAGTAAAATCATCAGCAACGCTCTCTGAATCATCATGCAC